GTGTGTGAAGCAGAATGGCAAGTAAAGGCATGGCAATTGGTGTTGGTGACAAGTGGTGCCTGTTTTGCAAAAGATAGCAGACGGTGAAGAATGGGGTAACTTTTGCAGACTTTGAAGAGATTGTCAGTTGAATTGCTACACGCCATTGAGATTGAGGATTCCACTTCACTGTTCCTGAGCGTCTCCAACCTCCTCTCCCTCACCTCAATCGCCATGGATCTACCGGATGAGGCGCAATTCAATGTGGTCGCTTTGATACAGATGGTGACAAGGAATTTTATGCAGATCACCAACTCAATGTCAGATGAAGAAGTTCTCCAACTCATCTCCCAAATCGCTGTTGCTGAGATGAGGCTGATGGAAGTAAGTCATCCGTTTATGCAATTTGTCACCCTTCATGCACACAAACCATGCCACAGGGCCGCTTTTGGAAGAGGTGTGCGAACAAAGTGAACTTCAGGCTGAGAAGAGAAACACACATTGTTCTCCCTTCGATCCTCCACACTTTAGTCATTGTTCAATACCTTAGGAACAGCAACGTCACCAAACAAGTGGTTGCTGAAAGTGGCACGGTTTGCGTAGTCTTGCCTGCCTTGGCGACCAGTTTGGAGTCGCGAATAATTGTGCTCCACACATCGAACCCAGTGGAATGGATGTAGGCATGTTGGCTGCGGTGAGGACTGCACCCAAGTCATCACAGTTGAAGGCATTGGCAATGCGTAACCAGACGCGCATTTTAAAAGGCTTAAACACTTTCGTCCAGCACGTCGTTGCCTCTGAGTGGCTGGTCAATTTGTCTCCATCCGACGACTAATCCCGGGCAAAAGATGTCCTCATGTCACATCCTCGACAGCCCTTATGGACAACACACTGTTCAGGCCTCGCGTGTGATGCATGTAGGGCGAGTGGTAGCTACAACGGATGTCCTTTTTACAGTTCGAGTGACGTCCTTTGCAAAGGTCATTTGCTAATCACACTCTGGGTGGGGCAGTCCACTTAGTGTTGCAAGGTGGCACCAAGATGGCCTTTTGGAGATGTTGCAGTCTAAAATGAAGAAGATGGGGCTGGAAAGACGCCGCCTTGTCCCAGTTCCTACCAACGATAATCTCCTGCCAGTAGTTCTTGCAAAAGCCACCACGCTTACGAAAGGAAGCAGAGTTGGCGGAGCCTTGATGAATGTGTGAGTAAGCAATCAGCCTCTCCGGATGCAAGGAAGGACGGCTTGGCAAACACGGTGGACGGTCGTCCTGTCATTACTCGTGAACACTTGAATGTCATCTGGCTCCTCAATGGGTGCATTGGGATACAATTTTGGTGCATTGAAACAAAGTGCTCCAAGTTAGTTCCCCGCACCCAAGACAATTCAACTGACGACCCAAAGCAAATGAGTGCAACTTCGTCAACGGTTGTTAATTCCATTGCAATTCATCTCTTCGGAGTCATCCATTACAATGTTTCCTTTGACTTTAGGGATTGAGACTTCAGCTGGACTCGCCCATCCCACTTGAAGCAAGTAGGCTACAGAGTGCGCCGCACCTCGGCACAGACATCAATGCTGAAGGCAAGTTGATTTTAGCATTGTGTTCTGGCCAAGAACGAAGCCAACTAGGCAAGCCTTCTCCGCTGACAGGGGATAGCCGAGTTCTTGAGTCGCCTGCTTTTATTTCAGGCAAAAGGGGGAGGGACTGAGGGCTTTTGGCGTGGTCTGAATGACAGCCCACCCGCTAATCAAGCAAACAACCAAACAGAGGGTTGCTGTGTCAGACGTAAATAGCGTTAGCGCCACCCATTCTTATTTCCCATTTCGTTTCAGAGGCTGCCGATGGGACGTCGGAGGGGCAAGAAAATGCCACCACCATGAGTGTTGAAAAAAGACAGAAAGAAAGTGTGCGTCGAGAGTCACAGCGTAATCTCGCTTCATTTCGAGCCAACTTTGGCCATCGGAATGCTGTTGGGATTGTTTGTATGCAAAATTATGGCATTTTATTCAGTATTTTGATTTCACAGTCTTATATGGCCTCGCGAGCAATTGGCGAGTTGAATGCCGCACTGACAGGCGCCATGGAGCTTGTCGCAACTCCACACCTCGCCGCCACAACCAATGAAGGTGGATTTATGCATTTTTTCAAAATCGCCACTCTGCCCCAACTCTACGAAGCCTCTGCGAAATTGAACAAGCTGTCCTGTGCCTCCTTTTCAGTTCTTGACCTCGCCACCCTTCTAGACAAATGCGGCACCATCGTCATTCAGGTGTGTGGGTGTCGATCAAGTC